AAAAGAGACAAGTAGCGGGGGGGGGGGGGGGGGGGGGGGCGCGGCGGAATATGATAGAGGTCTATAAAGAATGGTGTGGAGAAAATGACAAGGGAAGTATTAATTACCACTTCACATAACACAAGAACCACGGGTCACCCAATTAAATTAACAGGCAGCAGGTTTAAAACAAGCAAAAAGAAGTACTTCTTCACACAACACACAGTCAACCTGTGAAACTCACTGCCAGGGGATGTTGTAAGGCCATAAGTATAACTGAGCTCAAAAAGGAATTAGATAAGTTCCTGGAGGATAGATCCATCAATGGCCAAGATGGTCGGGGATGGAACCCCATGCTCTGGATGTCTCTAAACCTCTGATTGCCAGAAGCAGGGACTGGACGACAGGGGATGGATCACTTGATGATTGCCCTGTTCTGTTAATTCTCTCTGAAGCATCTGGCACCGGCCACTGTCAGAGACGGGATTCTGGGCTAGATGAACTAGGCTAGATGGACCAGTATGGCCATTATTATGTTCTTGCAGGAGGATTGCGAGTCACACAACTTCATTTCCTAGAATTCAGAATCCTAAGACACAAACCCCCCAAAACTGAGAGAGAGAAAAGAGGCTGCTCCCTAAGGCAGAGAGGAACAACTCATCCCACATTAGTTTAGGATGGGTCTCTGCAGACTGACTCCGATCACATGGAGACCCCTCGGCTGCAGGCAGTTTTAAGTAAACCATAAACACATGCCTCGACTTTATACAATTTGTGCTCCAAGCTACAGCGGGTGGAAATGTTTCCCGATGGAACGTTTGTCCTTTGGAAAATGCTGTTTCATTGAGATGACGACAACTTGTTTAGCAATGGGGTGGGCGGCACGAAAAAGCATTTTGATAGGGTTGAAAGGGAATGGTTTGATTTTTCAATTTCCAAATTTATTTGCTGTTATATTATTAAAAAAGAGTCAAAATTGAAATGAAAAAATAGAATACGTCTGGTTGACCTGAAATGACATATCCATATCTTTCCATCCATACATGCACTGATCCTCCACCCCTGCATCCACTGCTATCTATCCATCCCTAGTTCTCTATCTA